AACACAAATTTATAACTACCTTCCATTAAATTTTATCCTTGAGCTGCGTTTTCCTAACAAAAGCCGTTCTCCTGAGATATTAAAATTTCCCATGAAATTTATAAAACAAGTAATTATGACACCCACAAAAAAGCAAATAAAAATAGGAATGTTCTAAAGCGAAATTAAATATTAAATATTGTCATTGGCAGCCGTGTTATGGCCTATTTAGAGCATTGTGGCATTAAATTTGATGATATTAACAAAATTATATTTCGCCAAAGCATACGTAAATATTTAGAGTGTATGTATGTATACATACATAGCGAAATACGCCAACAGCAGAGCACCTAAGCATATTTGCGAACTAGGCAAGCCTTGTTCCGCGGGCATTAGTGCAGGTCGTCTGGTCGATTCAAAAAAAAAAAAAAAAAAAAAAAAAATTAGGAGTATTTTTTTCGATATGGAAAAATCCAACGGGGTGAGAGCATTAAAATTCCGACTTTACTTGTTTTGTGTATATAAATAAAATCCGAAAAAAGGAAATGAAGCCAAAACTTAAAATGTCTTGAAGCGAGTATTGGACTTTGTCCCAGCTTTATTTCTATTATCTAGCATATTATGCTGTCCCTTGACTTTACGCTACTATACAGCTTCTCTGCGAGTCTGCTCGCTGCCAAATCTCCAAAATATTTTCTATGAAATTGTTGAAAACATTAATGTACGTACGCCCCTATACACATTTTTTGGCGGCTGAACATCTTCTCGCATGCCATTTCCAAACCTCCAAGGACGCTGCGTGAAATTATGTCGTAATATATTTTTTTTTATGAACGAGCAGTAGGCTAAAGATAATTATTTACATATGTGCGTATAAAAATTTTAATAAATTATTGCCACATGAAATAAGTGCAAGTGTGAGTGAGTCATTTTGTGTGCGTATGTGCGCGTGAATTTCATACATGGCCGCGCACCGCATACAAACGCACCAGTTGTCGCTGTGGTTGTAACCAATACTATGCTTCCGGTTGCTTGCTCGCTGCTATGTACATATATATCATTTCCATTTCACACATCCATCCCTGCAGAAAAAAATTATCAATAGACAAAAAATAACCCAATTTTAGTTAACCTTTTTGCGGGATTTCTCTAAAATATATAACTTGTAGTTAGCTACAAAAAACAAGTCGACAAATAATGCAGAGTACCGTTTTCTTTAAACGCATTTCTATTTAAATTCCCTGCACTTCGCAAATACTTTTTCGAATTAAGGACAGAAAAAGGAAGATCGAAGTTTCATATTATCGTTTTGAAGTTATGTCTGACGGAGTTCGAATATGGGACCACCTACAGCAGAATATGTAAACAAATATGAAATGTAATAAAATAAAGCAAATAAAAATAAAAATAAAGAAATGATTTTGTTTTTGCTATTGCTATTTTATGTCCAAAAGTAGTTAGTTACAAGTTAGTTACATGAGATGCAGAGGTGACCACCCTTGACTATTTCGCGGCCATCGCCATAGAAATATAGTTAGCTTTCGTCAAAGAAAATATACAGATCATAAGTGACTTTTAGCTCCTTCCTAATCAACTTAAAGTTAGCTTATAGTAGGATGCATTTCCTGCAGGCATATGTATGTACGTACAAATCCTTATGTATTTACGGGTACGGATGCAATTATATGAATGCGAACAAGTGTCTGTTTGCTTGTCAGTTTGTCGACCGAATGAAACAGAGCAGAAAATTATGTAATGAAAAATATGTGTAGCAGTGCGCTTATGATGCCTCGCAAATTAAATGAGCGCGCGATGGGGGGCGGGGGGCAGGTAGTTGCTCGCAAGCTACCGTGACTGAGCGCATTGCCCTCTTGGGCAAGCGCAAATGCGCATTGGGATTTTTAATTCATGGCTTAAGTGCGTAAAATTATTTTACCACCACTTAATAAAGCCAAAGCGCTCAAAATTTGATTCGAACGTTTTTTGGACACACTTTTTATTAGCATTTGGGTGTAGTTTATTTTATGACCTCATACCTTATTTCTGATGGCGGCTGTACGAATATTTGGGATTTTGGCGCATAAATTACGGCTCCTTGGGGATCTTTGCATAAGATTGCTTTTAAAAATATAAAGATGAGGAACGGAAGCAAATGCCTAAAGTTCCTTGAGCCTTTTTTACACTGAGAAAAATTCTATTTCTGCGACACAAAAAAAAAACGATGTTGGAAATATGAAAGGCGATTGGCGGGCTGGTTCTATATTACGGGTATGCCGTAGCTTTAAGGTCGTTTGGGATTAGTAGGACGAAGATACGGATCTATCAGAACAATGCACTTAGGACTCACAGGATATGCCCTCTGATGTCGGTTGACTGCACTTTAAATGAGATTCAAAAACTATCTGTTAAAGAGCACAACATCAGCATGAGAAGGCAACTTTCTTGAATATATCTACTGAACTGGGCGGACTATTAACAGCCCGTTATTAAGGCGTTTAAATGAGTGCATGATATCAATGACAACCCTAAGAGGACTCCCTGATTTTGTATGGGTATGGTATTGAGGAAGAGAAATTTGGAAAAAATTAGGTTCTAGATATATTTATGCTAGCACATTAATCTCCTGGAGAAAATTCATATATTTGTGCTAACTGTAGGCAACTTTATTATAAGTTAGTTTTTACTGTAGTTAAGCCAATGGTGGTAACACTTGTATAAAACCAAATGAAAAAATATTCTATAAAATGTTTGATTACATTCTTCAGTAAGCAAATAAAAGAGTCTTCGTTGAGGACTACAAACAATTAAAATGATGCGATAAGCAAACTTGTAGTACTTATGTATGCACGTACATACTTAGTTCGTCGACAGTAAATAGACATATGTTTTTTATCATATTTTTTCCATAAAGTATGCCGTATGTATAATGAATGCAATGAGTTCGAAATTAAATGCTTCAATTGTTTTACACAACTACTTTCTAAACTTTAAATATCTAATATTACTCGTACATATATATATATATGCATATATATAATTACAATTATAATTGTATTACTCAGACAATTACTGCTAGAAAATGCGTTGTTTTCAAGTTTTATTGTTCTAATAGATACCTCACTCAACACAATCGCTCAATCAATTAATTGCACAATCACACAGTCGCATTCATTATTTTCCATTTCAATTATCCTTTTATTTTTACATTTGCAAATTTGCATACCATTTAAATTTAATTTTGTTACAGTTCGATTTTGTTACACAACAGACACATAGCTACACTTGCATGTGTATGTATATGCACATATGCATGTATGTATGTATACCTATGTAGGTATTTAGGTAAATGGTATCAGAATAGCTGAGAGGACAAATAAAATGCAAAATCGAACATAAAGCGCAAAATTGAAATCGAACCAAAGGTCTCAGTGGCTATTAGATGTCGAAGCAAATCAGTCCATTGCAGCTCAATGCAACTCAATCACACTAATTCAATATTGAAATATTTATGTAGGGCAACCAGACTTGCAGCACGGCTCGTTGAGTGGATGTGTTTATACCCTGCAGTTAAAAGCCAAACCAGTCAGTAAAAATACCAGTTCATTAACTAGTATGAACTAAAGCGATGATCTAACAGTTTGACGATTTCGAGCAACTTAAGTTTGCGTTGAGCGATATCCGCCTTTGAACTGGCGTTTCTTCAGAAATATCGGCTGTGGCGTTCTGATTCTGAGATCGCAGGTTCGAGTCCGCTTGGAAGTGGTTAATATCTTTAAAATTAAATTAATATAAGTAAATTTAATTAAATATTTCAATTTAAATATGAATCAGAAATTTAAAAATCTAATTTCTTTTGAGAAAAAAACGTAGGTAAATAAATGCATGCACCACAAAAATTTAATTTATTAAAATAAAATTTATTTTTCATTTTAAACAATTAAATTAAAATATTTCAATAAAAACCCTAAATTGAAAAAAAACATAAAAAAGTAACAATAATTCCCCTGCGCATGGACTTAAATCAACGACCCCCGGAATGGCACCCTTGTGCTTTGCTCAATCGGTCATTGCGAATGTTACTTATTTATGCCGTTTACGGGGGATGAATTGGCTACCGCATCAACTGCTTCAATGCAACTAGTATTTCTACCAGTAGGTGCTGATGCAGGAGTGGACAATTAATATCTCGTAGGACCAGACAATGCTACTACCAGTCGCTCACATTGAAAAAGGATACAACGCGAACTAATTGCAAACTGGCAACATTCTAGTTCACAACCAGTAGCTTTCGCTGCAGGGTAGTTAGGTTTGTACATTAGACTGCATCACTACCCATAAACAAAAAATCGGTGCTATTTTTCCATCGGAATCATAAAATAGAGATATTATGTTTTAAGACTTGCACTAAAATATTTAGAAAAAATATTAGGATTTACGTCAGCTGGGCCGATTTAAAAATACCTGCAAAAATTAAGTTTTTTTATGAACAAAAATATTTAGTTTATTGTGTGTTTTTTTTTTTTTAAAAAGATCGCCTCAATTTACAAAGCAGTTTAGGTTTAAATATTAAAAAAATTTCAACAGAATCGTAATAATGAAATTGTTGATGCTGTTTTTGAACTTTTTCAAAGATTGTTTTAAGAAGAACTTAAAACAATTCGGCCAAAACTTAACCGATTTAGCCATAGAAGGTATGATTGGGAAGATATTTTCTCACCCGTTGTATTTATTTGCAAATATTTTAATTCAAAGTACGATAAGATAAACGTAATAATGGTTGATAATTGTGTAATATTTTTAGGCAGTTTTTTAAGTCAAAACTGTTTTTGCGTCCTGGGGATTCTTGACAAAAACCCCTTTAAGAAACTATTTTTATTCACAAAAAGTTATGTACGGTCTTGGAGTTTTTTTCAAATCGGTTCAGCTCAAGTAAATTTTGATATTTTTTCGAAATATTTTGGTGAAAGTCTTCAAATATAATAAATTTTTTAATTCCGATGGTAAACTCGCAACTTTTTTTTTATCGGTGATACAGTCTAATGTATGCATGACTATGTTCGTTCACTTATACTTATGTGTATGTATTGTGTTGCTGTATTGTTGCACTTTTTGTCAGTTGTGGCATGTCCCTTTCATACAACTATATGTGTGTATGTTTGCTTTGCAGAGAGTCTGTGTTGTTTTACGAAATAAGGAGGAACAAATATTTATGTATATATGTACAATTACAATTACAACTACAATTACTCTATGTGTAAAATCGCAGTCATTCCATGTTTTCTATGTCATTGTTTGCGTTCTCATTCCGCCCTCTCCCTCACTTGTGTTCAATTTCGCAATCACCTGGGTAACGAAGTGCCACCACTCCATCGCCGCCAATGCCACCAACACCAACAAAAGTCCTCTAGTGGCTGTCGCAATCGATGTCGCTGCTGTTGTTGATGCTGCCATTGACCGCATTGCAGTGCCCATTGGGAGAGCAGCCAGCCCATCGCCACGATGCACCAATTTGTTGTAGCCGCGGCGAACAGCACTCGGTCGAGTAGGCGTCGTAGAAGCACCAAGGGCCACGCTGTGTGTGGCTCCAGCTCATTGGTGGCCGGCGGCAGAAGCTGTTCACTTGAGCGTGCCACTGCCGCTGTTGTTGTCGCTGTGGTGACGCTTGCGGCCAGTGTGGTGAGCGTGCGTTGGGCTATTCGATAGAGCATGCCGTGCAGCGTGCTGGAAAGGCGATTGGCGCTGCTGTTGCCATGTTGCATGGCAGCCGGATGTTCACCATTGATGACGTGCACCACCACCGAAGCAGAGTCTGTATAAAGAGAAGAGAAGAAAATGACATGGATTAGAAGTGGTAGTGGCACAGGTACTAAATAGAAAAGCAAATAGTTAAATTGATTGTTTGATATACAAATTTCAATGGGAAACGGATAAATGAGAAGAAATGGTAGCTGGTACTCGTGACTCCTTAGCCCGTCATATACTTGAATTACTTAGAATGAAGTGAGAAGGAAGGTCTGAAATTTTCAATCCACAGATTGATTATTATTAAAGTAAAAGATGAATCAATATGCCTGCAGTGTGGTACTCGCATTAGGCCATTTGATATTTACATTTGCATTCAGTTGTTATGCTTTACAATTTTTTTCTACTTTGTAGTCCATTTCTTTCAGCACTAGTATGAAATTAAATAAAAAGTGTAGGAAGCTGCAACGAAATCGTTGTCTACCACTAAAGAGCTCGTGGGGAAAAAAGTTGGAGCAGAATCCTAAAATAACTTTCTGGTTCAATAAGTACTCAGACGGTCAAACCCATAATAGTGTGTAGCCCTTGTATGGTGGAAAAAGACCACTCAAACAACAGGCATAAAAAAATGGGCCAGATCCAACGGAGGCAACGAAAACAACAATACTCACTGCAGGTGTGGAAGCCCTACTCAATTTTATACCACTTCATCTGGCAAGGAGGTGGCAGCAACGAAAAATATCAAACAATGCAACATTGCCGTATACGTTGAAATCTCAAAGGGAAAGGACGTAACTATACCCAAAACCTTGTACTCAAACCAAACTGATCCTATCTTCAGCTTAACGAAGAGGTACAAGATCATATTTCCTGCTCGTGAAAATTTTAGGAGAAGTGAGGACTGCACCCTGATTCACAAAAATTGTATACCGATGACTCAAAAACATCTTACGGTGTAGGTGCGGGTGTTGTGAGACCGCGGCTCTGCACATATTTTTCCTTAACTAAAGATGCAACGATATTTCAGGTGAAACTGGCTGCCATACCGGAGACCGCGCACGTGTTATTAAACAGGCCAGAACTAAAATCTCTATACTTTTGGGCAGCCAATCTGTCCCCAAAGCTCTAGGTAGCTACTGGTTCTCATCAAAAACCCTTAAAGAGTGCCATAGAGGGTCTCCTAATCTAAGTGCTATTTCGTGAGGGATATGATGGAAATTGGGGAAGGTTAGAGGGTACACCACCGCTCAAAGAAGTTCTGTGCTCATGCAATGCAGATAAAACCTAAAAACCCCATTTGTAGTACTTACAAGCCACTATACGTCCAATAAACACATGCACATACTTGGCCTCTGGGGTAAAGATATATTAGCAGGTTCTGTAGTGAAGGAAAGGAATCAATGAAACACATATATACCACCTGCCCAACACTAGCTCATCACATAGCCAGATTTTTAAACGACTATAAGCTCAGCGATATTGGTCCAATACAGATTTCGCAGCTGTATTTCTGTATACTAGACAAGTAAAGTGAAAATAGCGTCACAAAAGATGAAATCTGGACGCGGTGCAATTGACTTGTAGACCCTTACACGATGGTCAACTTTTAGCTACGCTAGGGATGACGGCGACCTCAATTAGCCTCCACCTGTAGCCCTTACGTCCTATCCCTAATCTATCGAGCGAGAGGAGAATGCGAAACGTCACATGCTTTCCAGCGAAATTCGTCTGCAAAATAACTTAAATAGACTCAATTTTTATCAGCGTGAAGCAAACCATTTGAGATTTGATCCCTCCTTACCCTTTGGTCATTTCTAAGGACTTTCAACAGGCTAACTGTTTGACTGAACTACTCTGCTCCTGACTGTATTCCTTTATAACTGCGCCGTCTAAATTAAAAGTTATGAAAGAGGTTCACCGCAATTGTTGTTTGGCAACTGCAAGCCGATGTCGATCACTGCACATACACACATACACACATACACATGTTTTGTGCTCCATCAATCCTAGCGCATACCCAAATGTCCTGCAAAAAAAAACAAATTGCTCAAATTGAAGATTTTGTCACTTTAATGCTGCGTTGAAGTGCGCAATGCGAATTAAACTTGTCAAAAATAAAAATAAAAAGTTTTCGAATTCAATTATGCCATGAAGACTTTACGACGAGCTGGACACACGCAGGGAATTGAAGGACAAGCCAGAAGCAGCAAAAAGTATAAAGTTAAAATAAAAGAAGCAGAATTAATGAAGACCGTAAAAAATGCGACACAGCTGAACATATCCATTGCGGCTGCCTGCAGCTTGGAGCAATATAAAGGAATGCCAGGAGAGAGTAACCACAACTCTACTAGCCAACAAAAATTCCCTCGCGCTCGGCAAGCATAATTCAATTTGTTAAGCCATTTGTGACGCCTCAGCATCAATAACAACAAAAGAAGAAGAAGAAGAGGAGGAGGAAGAAGAATGGTTGGAGAAAGTAACGAGTGAGAAAAAATGTAAGTAAATAAGTAAAATTATTACATTTTTTCGCACAAGGCATTCCCCCCAAGAGTGAGGATGGCCAAAGTGACAGCCAAAGTGTTGATACATGACAAGCGAAGGTCAGCAAAGAAAAAAATAAAACGCAAAAAAATTAAGAATTAATCAAGTACAGAGGAATACCTTTTTGGTAGCAAGTTTGTGTGTACATATAAAAGCGGACTAAAGCGAATTAAGGCCTATACAAACTTTTTAATGGAGCAAAAGGAAAAATCTCGCTTCATAAATGCACAGTACAGCTGAGAGGCATATTTGATAGCTGTGTATGCATGTATGTGTGTGTACCTATGTATGTATGTATGTAAGTATGGGTGCCTGAGATGAACATGAAATATAAAATGCTGGAATATTACAAATTCTAAAAGATATGAACCGAAGAAAAACAATTTCGCAACGTCGCGACCTTCAATCGACCGCGTGTGTCTTCCAACGCGACAGTAGTTTTGAGGCTACCATGTCCGACAGGACAGTCTCTCAACTGAGCGCTGTCGTCAATTTATGTTTATGTTTGCAGCATTCTCAGGTTTGAAAGTAAATAAGCTAAAAAAATTAAGTCAGAATTTTGATAAATAGATTTACATGAATTATGGCGCATTTCCTTGGCTTACACGCCGCAGCATGAAATCGGCTTCTTAAGGTGGAAGGATAATTGAATTTACAGTTTAGGGAGACTAATGAACTTGGTTCGCCTGCCATTGACCCCTAACTGATGGCCTAGGTGCGATCTCCTTTCGGCTCGGGTGATTTATTTAGCAGGTGTTACCATTATGATTGACAGAAGCACAAAAGGTGGACCTGTGAGCTTGTTGTTTGCCCTAGAGACTGGCTCAAGAACATTAATTTTCGCTAAAAAACAAAATAGGAAGTCTTCAAGTACAAAAGCGAGTATTGTTATTATTATTTTTTTTTTTAAGTTCCCCTCGGAATTCAGTGTTCATCAGATTTGTCCATCTTTAAGTAGATGGGTTTTAGTACACATAGCCTAAAGATAAGCTAAATTTTCAACATAATCGCGCATACAAGCGTACCAAAAGGCAGTGTGCTTCTCAGATATGACATTGCAGGAATTGTGTATCAAATGATATTTTGGCATCTGAAAACATTTCCCACTTAATTCTACAAAATTTACAAAGTCAACTTGAAATAAGAAAGCTATCATAACTCATCAAATTTACAATATTTTTTTACCAGCCTGGCTACTTCTTTGTTTAGGTAAATCCGTTTTTGAGGCATGCCATTGGTGTTTCACGTAACGCGCCGGCATCTATTTGTGCTCAGCTCCCTTACAAAATTTGTCCATTTTATGCCTAACACGTGAATCCTTACATAGCAAATCCTTTTACGGCGAATGTCCTTATGGCAATAAAACTTTTTACTTAAGAACAGTTAATGGATTTTCGTGGTAAAACACTTTGTCGCAATTTGCAGTAACTATGTATAAGACAAGTACATACATACATATACATGTATATATTTATGTATAAAACAGTAAGTATTCATGTTTGCTTCTTGAAAAGAGTAATTTTGTAAAAATTTTACAAGGGCTCCTAATGATGCCTGTAAGTGGATTTTATAAACGGAAAAAAATATTAGCTATTGTGCTGCATTTGAGTAAATAAAAAAGAAATTCTTCTTTCATTATAAATGAGAAAGTTTGTAAAGTCAAAACCGACTAAACGGTTTTGAATAAAATTTCGCTCGCAACTAATCTGCGTTCCGGCTAGAAAGATGTGTAGGCTATTGCTTTTTGAAAGTAAAAAAGTTAAATGAAACTAATAAGTTCAATCAAATATTATAAAAAAAGTGTCAAACGAAGAGGTTTAAGAGAGCTTAATTTCGAAAATAGTTTTGAAGATGTTTTCCACCTTTTTAAAAACTAAATTTTTCACACAGTTTACGTAATCTGGATTGAGAATAGGAAAAATTGCATTCATTGTCCGATTTGCTTGCAATTTAGTTAGGTTATCGCCTGGATTAACATATATTTAGGATACTTTTTCCGGTAGGTGGACCAGGGACCATTGTTTTTCATTGACCGACGAAACAGTTTTTATCAAGCGCCGCGAAGCAAGTAGGCGGAGATGTGGTGATGTCCGAAATAGGTGCTAATGGTGCTTGTTTCATCCATTTTTCCCAATAATACTATTGAAATGAAAGTTTTTTTAGTTAAGATATTTTTTTCTGCTAAATTTTAGTCCGCTTTTTCTAACTAAAACATGTTTCATAAAAATGCTATGTTTCGCTTGGAAAGAGGATAGACATTTTTAAAGCGAGGAGAGGAGATATTAGTTACAAATTTTATTGGTTGATCGAGGAAAGCAGCTTATGACCATGCATTATTATTATTTGTCAGCAGGCACACTCTACTTGTCCCCTCTTTTACAGCCGTTGAGAGACAGGGAGAAGGAGGGCTGTAGAATCTTTGCGTATACTGGGAAAGAATAGTATTCGAATTACAGTGCAAGCAAATTATGAATCAGTAAAATATCAGGCGCTTGTACGGAATGGAAAAATACACACTCGAACATATTCGGATGGATTAATCCTCTAGTTTACAGCTGATTTTCGTGTACGAAAAAACTGAACCCCCGTTTTATAAAATAAATGTAGTTAATTAACAGGATGACACTTATTATTATTAAAAATAAAATAATGTTATTAAATTTGATTATTTTTAATTATTTCATTATTTTTGATTACCTGATTAATATTAATTATTTTGTTTAATGGCATGATTATTTTTGATTACCTTAATAATAACAAAGTATTTATTGATGGGTTATGTAAAAAAAAATTAAAATAATCTTTAAAAGTTGCCAATTAAAAAAATGCCAAAAAATTAATGATTACTTATGGTAATGGAAATTTAACAGTTCTGCTTGAAACTAGTAGAAAAGTAATGCAGACGCATTCTGGAGATTGTTTTCTTTAAATAAGTTTCTATTTAAATATCCTCATATAAATTTAACCTTGAATACAATTTCTTTTTGGAAGATCGCAATTTTATGTTATCATTTTTAAGTTATGTCTGACGGAGATCGAATATAGGTCCACCTACAGCAGAATATGTAAATAAATATGAAATTTAATAAAATAAAATAAATAAATAAAAAAGTTAAAAAAAAAAATATTTTGTTTTTCTCATTGATATTTTATGTTCAAAAGTAGTTGAGCTTGCAGCCTTGGGCTTTATATAAGCATGGATAACTGTATGATATGTTTATTTTAAACTTATTTATTCATTTATTAAGTGGAAAATGGTTTCTCTGATACATTCTATTAAAAACTAAATTTCAATCGGTGGTTTCTAGGTTACCACTGCATTTTTAAACTACAAAGCAAATCAATCTGAAATAAATTAAATTCTCAAAAAGGTACTCCTTATACGCTTACCTCATATACATACATACATTTAATATGGCTTTCTCTTTACTTGTATTTAATGTTTAGTGTCAACTATAGTTTATGCAAATATGACCGCATTTATTTTGAATCGATATGCATGCAAATTTTTTAATATGTTTGTCCTCATATAGTCTCAGTATCAGTAAGGCATGTATTTTAAAATTATCTACTTCAAAGATTTGTTATCCTTTTTTCTCAAATTTATCTACCAGCTCTTGCTCAAGTTGACTACTTAAGCTGCTCTCGTCGCTTCACCGTCATAGCTTTAATTTACCAAGGACAGTCAATACAAACAACACATACAATGGCAAGAAACTGTCCGAAAGCTGATACCAATAACATGAAAGACCAATAAGCCTAGCGTCTGCTGGAGCATTATAAAGGGAAGAGAGTACATATTAGGTGGCGCAGAACGAACGAGATTTAATAACCAATTTTCCTTGCAGCAGCTGTGACATCGTTAGGCTGACTAATGGAGTGTCTACATGCCGGTGATGGAGAGATGGCACAACAGCGACAGAAAGCAAACAAAAGCAAGGAAAATAACAAAAGCAAACTCAGTAGCTGAGGAAAAACAAGTCGACCAAGAAAGGCAGCAGGATATTTTACATGCGAAAGCCCAACTCCGTAGCCAATCCAGTTCTTTTTTATTTTTAACGAGCTTTAAGTGAACTGTATGTGTGCATATGTACTTGTGTTTAAGTATATTTGTCCACTTTTACTCAAAAGCTTACTTCACAGTTTCTGTTAGCGGCATTTAAATTGCCTTTGAAGTTATTGTTGTGCCCTCCGTGTTTCCGTTCATCAATCCTAGGCAAAGGCAAGCAAGTAAATACATATGTAAGTAAGTGAATAAGTAGCCAAAAATATAAACAATCAGCAACACTTCCTGTCGCCTAGCAACACAGTAAGCGCCATTGGCTTGGTTAAAGCTCAGAAGCAAAATCAAAAAAAAAAAAAAACACCTACAAATTTGACAACAAAAGAAATGAAACGAAAATATTTGCATATACTTGGTTAAACTAATAAAGCCACCCGGTCAGCCATGGATGCAGGGATGAGTTTCCACCTGACCAACCTCCACTTTGCTCGGTTGAGTGTTTCTGTCATTGATTGACACCTCTTGTTCTTCTCGTTCTGTTCTGGCCACTTTGGTCTTTCGAGAACAATGTGAAAGCGGTTGTTGAAAAATAATTTGTTTCTTCAGCTTTTGTGTTGCGATGATGTTGGTTTTCGGGATTTGGTGAAATCACAGGAATTTGTGGTAAGGTCAGTACATTAAGTTCAATGAAAGAAATCACAGATGGCTGTATTTAACTGGAAGTGTTAAGCAAATAGAAGTGCTGGGAAGAGAAAAATGCCGCCGAGCTAGGTAATCTTAAAATATTTTAAAAGTAAGTACAGATATTTAGTTTCTAAAGAGATTTGGTAGAAATTTGGTTATTTGCGTAAATTGGATTGCACCATTTTATATAAATAAGCTGTGGGACCTAAAATTCGTCTTCATGAATGAGTATCAGTCGAATTAATATTTAGAATAATTTGTACTAAAACGTTGATTTATTTATGTGAAATATGTAAGTAGCCCTTCTAAATGAAATAAATGAGTAATGAATGATAAATGAATCATTTGCAGTTACATATTTTAAACCAAGCTTAGTACCTGCGCGAATTAACCAGTTAAGAACCTGCGATTTGGGGTTCCGTTAGCGGGTGAAGCATATCATTATTAACCGGTAATTTACTTGAGAAAAATTGGAAAAAAAAATAAAAAAAAACATGATTTGTAGATAATACTATAGGCGTGCTAAATGACAAAAAAACGCCGAGATACGTAAACTTAATTTTGGATCGCTGATTACGGATCTGTATACCGTTTTCGGGGAGCAGGTAACTTTCTTAAGATAATTTAAATATAGGTTTGCATTGCGAATGAAAAAACTGCAAACTTTAACATAGAAAATGTTACTCATACGCCATGTACCTACGAGTATGTACGAGTACGCCAAGTACGATGTGGCGCTGAGTAACATTATTTTCTGCTCCTAATTGTTCCGACAAATGTTTATACTATTTAGTTGACCATTCGCAACATTCTTATTTAACCATCGATTTTCATTGTTAGGGAGAAGTTACATGGCTTCTGACAGGTGGCGTCTCCCAGAACATACAAAGCTTTTATTGTTAATCTCACATCGAATCTCTGGCTTAACCCTTCTGCAGTGTTTGGAATTTACCCCTTAGAAATTAGTCAATTTAAAAAAGAAAAAAAAAACGACATGCAGACACTTCATCGGCAAGTGCTGTATGCTTACCGGTTCGAAGTTGAAAGCATACGAAAATTGGAAGAAATTTTTTGGCTTTTTAGGCCACAGTGCAGAGAAAGTCTACTTCAATATTGTCAATCCAAACTGAGTTAAGTACATTAAGTATACAGAAGTTCCAAAGCTATACCAATTAGCAGTAGCTCACTAGAACAAAATATTCATTCATATTTACTAAAGCAGATTTCGTTACATTAATATAGAAAGGCTCTAGCTATTTTTCCTTTCAAATCCGATTATTCACTAAACACTATTTATGGAGTTTTTTTTATCATTCCGTACAGAAACAAAAATGCTAGACAGAGCCGTTCTATATTAAACTACCCTCTATAAGACAAACATTTTGAGCAAAGGAAATCAAAGTTACAAAATTTTAAAGAAAATGTATAGAAATTGAAATTATTGGTATGGTTGAGTAGATCACCACCGGCATTTTTTACTTACGCTTCAAAACTTCTATAATTTTCCAAGTGAATACTTAACCAAAAAAAGACAGGTGTCATAATTTGTTTGGCAGTTACGTACTTGTATGTTCATGTATGTATTGATAAATATAGTACCTCTCATTTTGCTAAACGATATGAATATTTTTACACTACAATTGCTGGTATGAACTTTGCGCATGTGTGCCCATTTTATATTTGCTTATAACTCCACTGATATTTTGATAGTTTAAGCACATGAACAGCAAAACAAAACAGAAAGAGTTGAGCAGCGGCACAACACGTTCATGCCACAGACTTAATCTATGAGTTTACATAATGTCAGCGCAGAGCGGCCGCATGCAGCACAAACGCGATGCCACACAAATTTGCGCGGCAAACCAAACCTTACACGTACACATACAAAAATATATACTTCGATGTGGATATATGTACGTATTCATGCACTTTATCCATGCAAGCGATACAGAATTTCTAGGCGGCACACACCACCGCCATTTCGGACTACCAGCTGTGCGGGCTGAAATATGAATGTTTGTTGCTGGAATGCATATTTACAAAAGGATAATGGCTGGCTGGGTTTGGTGGCGAATGATCGGTCGGCTGCTTGGTTGGTTGGTTGGTTGGTAGTTTATAATTCTCACAGTGCCATCATACCTTTTGTTGTTGGTGCTTTAGTGAATGTGTGGTGGCCTTACCTGAACTGCTCGGCGAACATGTATAATTCCCCGAATCGGCTGGCGTTGCCTTCGCTATCAATAATTTACTGGTGCGCGTCGAACGTTCCGTTATGACATTGATGCCGCCTCGTTGTGAATAATTCATCACACGTTTACCCTTATACCAATAAATAAAGGAGGGCGGTATGGGCGATTGCATGGCAAGACAGGTGAGATTTATGTCGCTGCCGCTTTTGATGAAAAGTTCCGAATTGCCAAGAATTTTTGCGCGAGAAACTGTAAGCATATAAAAGAGAAGAAAATGTTAAAAAGTTGGCAAGAGGATATTAAAAGTAAACACACATTCATATATGTATGTACACGTACAAACACACACACACACACACACCTATCCGACAAGCCGAGGGTAGTGAAGCGCCCAGCAAAAGTGGGTAATGAAAAAAAAGCAGACAAAACGGGTTTAACTAAAGTTGATGGCGTGTGAAGTAAAGTAGAAGTGAATGAATTTTCGAAAAAATGGTGAGTGAATATGTGAGAAGGGTGTGTGAGTTCGCGATGCCGCTACGCCCTGTCTTTTACATTTTTTGTTTGCCTTTCATCAATATTTGTTTCATGTGCAAAATTAAGTGGCAGTTGGCCCTTTGCGCTTTGCTCTCCTTGGGAGTGGAGAACGGCGAAAACGCGGCTATTTTTGCCCGGCGTAGAGAAGACGCGTGCAAAGTTAGTTGTAATTTAGCCGCAGTGTCGAAATTCACGAAAGTTGTGCCAAAAGTGGGGACTAATTTTTATGAAAAAACTTGCAAGGAATTAAAATTTTCGCGTGCGTCGCTATACGCCAGAGTAAACTAAGTTAAGGCATTTAATGCAGTTAAAGCTAAGGTGAGCTCACGAACAGTTTAATGAAAGGGAAATAAAAATGAAATGAGTTTGTGCAAATTTTGCCAAAATTTATAACTTAATCGAGTCGAAAGCGTACGTTAGATTTTTCTCTTTAACAAACTATTAAATTTAATCGAAAAAGGTGAGACAAAATTCGATTATCGCATGGACGGTTTTATTCGCCCAGTTGCATTTATTTGCTCAGTCATAGCTTGATTGCAGCACTACTAAGCAGCTCAATTAAAAGCTATCTACTTACAGCATAAAAATGAGAAACCCAATATAATAAGCATCACAACAATCACAGTTTACGCCCGCATACACTACTCTAATCAATCAGGATATCTACCGGGGTGAACATGCACTCTAAATCGCATCATAACTCACCAACTACATTCAGTCGAAAGCCTTGACTTATCTTCGGCTCTGTGGACACTTGACATTCGTATGTGCCGGAATCTCTGGGCTGTGGCGATGATATCCTCAATGTCCACTCGTCCGAGCCTTCGGTGTGTAGCGATTGAAATCGTTGATCATTTGTGTAGGTGAGTATGCCGACGGTGAGTATATGTAAGTCACGTTTGCGTATCCAGGATACCTGAGTGTAGAAAAATAAAGAAATTATTATTGTTGTATGTAGAAGAGTAAACCATACAGAGTTTTGTTGTTGTTGTTGTTGTTTCTTTGTTAATCTTACATTAAGTACACTAAATGCGTGCTAAGTACTTCATTCAATGCGATTACATTGTGGAAATTATCTAATTGGTAAGTGTAGTGCAATTATTTGAACGCACACTTAGGTACTTAATGCATTATGACATTGATGCTAAAGTTTGACTAAGTATTATGCACGGGGGAAATGTGATGGGAAAATTTACAATTTCAACATACAAATTTTTAGCGAACCATTTTCTTTATATTTTCGTTATGGAAATTACGCGATAAAACCTTATAAATATTATCGGTTTTCCCTGTTTAATTTAGGAATATCTTCTTCTAAGAAAAATACATTTAAATAATCCTACTAATATTGTAATATTGTAAATGTGTGCTTATACGCCTGGACGTGCCTTAGTTAACATATGGCATATATTTCAAAGACAGTTGCCACCTTTTCAAAAGTTGAAATTAATTTACTAATAAGGTAAATAAAAGTTCCAACAGCGCAGATGTTAAATGAAAGGGGTTCGAAAGCAATAAAATATTTTTAAGGGGGGGTTGCCACCTGTTGAAAAAGTGAAAATCGATAAGTGTGTAAGTTGTAAGTAAATAAAAAAACTAATTTAAAAATAATTAAACAAAAATCTATGTGGGTTGTTATTTTATACTAAAATAGCCAACTTAGCCAATTAAAAAAAAATATATATATGAGGTGATATGACGTTAAACCGAACTTAACATGGGCGGAGCTTCGGGAAAAAGTAAAAGAATCCATATTACGAAAAAATCATAGAATTTCGATAACCGTAAAATTAAGCCCAGCAAATCGTGATGCGTCTCATAGATGTACGGATATATTTTTAAGAGCTCAAAAAACACGTCATCAGCTTCAGCAGTCTTTGTTGTTTTCTAGTCGTGGTATTGCTATTCGCACCTCGCATTGACTGGGGGTCCGAGTCCACTTCGATATTGGCTTAAGAGCCATTCAGCCTGTCAGAGCAATGTTTCCTCTGCTGTTATTGCAGTATTTGAACGTTTTTTGATGAACAGATGCGTGTGTGCGTCTTTGCTGTAACCATTTAGTGATTTGAGTACATTTTTTGGGCTAAGATCGTACGTTTAAAATATGAAGCGTGCTTATCCTTTTTAACAAATTAGGTTTCTCGTTTTTCGACCAGAGTATTACCATTCGGTCAGAAAGATCCTTTTATACTGGAACCTAGTGCTACAGGTCGTAATTTTACCAGAGATTTTTCTTTTTCCTAAATCCTTTCCTCCGTTTTACATGACAACGGACTGCTGATTCAAAACCCTTTTGTTGTGGTAATAAATCGATCAATTTGAGCGGCCGATATGATTATATATACTATTGACATATCTATGTGGGCTAAGTAGCCATAAACAGTGCTATAAAATTAACTGCGTGGTACGAAATTTCAAATATTTCCATTGAATGCTAATAGCCAAAATCCTTTATTGGGTAACGAACATTATTGTTTACTTTCTCCCATTTTTCTTATCTACTTAAATTTCAGCTTAAACTAATACTGCCTGATAGCACGACCCGCTGCCCGAAACACAAAAATTACAATAAGTATATCCGGTCAACTGAATTTCTTTCAGCTTTAGCAGCATTCCATAAATTCAAATCGTGCTTAACGTCAGCAAAGCAAATTTAATGTGCACTTGTGTATGTAAACATGCCATCCGCCTACAGTATGAAAACACACACGTTTTAAGTATAGAGGCTCATCTAGCTCATTGATATATTTAAGCGGGCTCTGCCAAGCACTATCCTTTAATAGTCCAGAAGCGCACGCTCAAAATGTCATTATCTATTAATGACTAAAACAGACAATCTGCTGCCCGTCGCATTACACAAGCGAGCGCATGTAGATACGAGGGTCGCTAAGCGAGTATTTAGAATTCGTTAGACTGGTGGCAATTTTAGACGTTCTGCTTTTTTCTCTTTGTGTTGATTATACTTAATTACTTCAAATTTTAAAGTAAAAAGGAAAAAAATGAATGTTAAAAGAAAAAGTCGTCTTTAATTAACACAAAAACAGGTAATCGATGAACTTATTTCGACTTTTGGTGATGAAACCCCATTGGAGTCAGTGTCTGTTATTGGTATAATGCATTAAAGCGCTTTGCGAAAGATGATAATGGGTGATCGTCACGTGACATACGTACGGGCTTTCCTAGGCCTTCAAGATCCTACCACATATTTAATATTGCATAAACAATCGCCTACGTACGTTGGACCTCACATTATTTGAAAATTGCTCAAAAACAAAAAAAAAAAAGAAAAACAAATTTTTCGCGTAAAACACACTTCGAAAAAATAGTCGCTTGTTTCTTGGCAATATCGGGTCCCTTGGCTATACTGGCACTAGATGAATGTAGAATTCCCACTGAAATAACTCCAGCGCAATAACGCTCAAAGGCTTTATTTCCTAAAAAAAAAGAAGTAAAGTCCTCGGCTGTTTTTTCACCAATGTTCTGCAGTTGATTCTGAGTTATACACAACCATTTCTTTGGCAACAGTTTTGGACGAATGGAGGAAGAAGAACGACATACCACAAATGGTCGTACATCCGACTAGTGGGAGCTTTTACACATATAGTCAAACAATACATTTTTAAGTACTCAAAACGTCGATTTGTTGAGTCATCCGAAGTACAGTATACAAGTTTATTTTCTGCTTCCCATTCAGCGAGGATAACCTGCGTGGACAAGGACTTTCGTCAACAAAAGGAGCATATGCAAAAGTATATAAATCATGCTGAAGAATAACTTAAAAACCAATAAGGTCGTTTTTAGCGGTTAAGTTTTTTTATTTCTTAGGTATTCTAAAATTTCTTGTAGTGACCCTCGTATGCACATACATTCATGTGTAGGTATGTAGGTATGCATATCTTTGCTATTTGAAAACCAGTAGATACTATTCTATTGGGGAGAATATAAATTGATTGGTTATTGATTGTACCCAGAGTTAAGAATTTAGTAGCTCTTCTAAAGCCACTACCTTTTGATATGTAAGAAAGTGTTTTGGCTTTTTATGACTCGTTTTAAAAAATTTATTAGATAAGAAACAAATGCCTTTTTCTAGTAGCGTATGCTTGTGCTCCAGAGCAGCTCTGAGTTCCTGCAAATAGCTTTCACTCTCTGATTAATCACCGCCAACAACTCACTTCACTGCTGGGAAACAAGCAAACAAGCTTCATTGCAATTCACTCGAACATACACATACACATGTATGTACACACATTTGCATATTGTACATACGTACACATATTTATATGAGGCTGTTCAGTGGCTGACCCTTCACATGCCATGAATATTTTAAGCCTTCGATGCGTTTATGTAAATTTTATGGGCCGATAGTGTAACACTTTAATAACGGCAACTGTTGCTTTTGTTGTTGCTGTTTGGAGAATATCTCTTTTATATGCTATTTTTATTCAACATCTATTGGTTTCAATGGCGAATTGGTTGTCATAAAATATTACCTAAAGGATAAAAAGGTGCAACCTCTCCGGTCGCACACGTGTAGGATAGTGTATGTGTGTGTGTGTGTGTGTGTGTGCTTGTGGGTGAGTGAGAGTTGCTTTATTCAGGTTACATCAATATGCAAGAAAAAATTATATGCATGATGCGCCTTTTCCATATTTTTCCATATTCTTTTATGCTTAAATCTTATTTTTTCCAGCAGAATTTTATGACTTCGGGGCGCAATAATAAGTTAACCTCCAGTCTATCCTGCCGATTGGCAGTGGTGTGAGTAATGTGTGTTGAGGAAATTATGCAGCGCCAGCAGCAAATTGAGCAGCTGAACCCCTGCATATTTATAGGCTAACGAGTCATTCTACACATGTATGTAGGTACATGTGTTTGCTATAAATTTTGTCTTGAATGGAGCATGCATCTATTAATGCCACCATAAGGTATTTCACTCACAAGTTTTGTGTAAAGTTTTCTGCCAAATAATTTTATGCTCGAATTGTTTGGATATAAGAAATTGCCAAGTCGTTAATAACCTTTATGAGTTTGCAATCAAAAAATGATAAAGAAGTGAGTAACAAACACTAAAGAATTTTTCAAGATGATATGGAGAATTACATATTTGATTACGTTGGGAGTACGTAAAAAAGAGTTTGAATAAATATAAAAGTTTTATAAACTGGAACGGATGTTTTATGAACAATAGATGTAGTGAAATAGAAAGCCAATAAGTTCTACTTAAAAATATGAGCTAAATTGGAATTTAATATGAACAAGTAAGAAAGGCTAAGTTCGGGCGGAGCCGAACATTAAATACCCGGCGCAAGTATTAAATATATGTTTTTTCACCCTTCCGAAACCTTCCGCTAGATGGTAAGCCGAGTTGTAACAATTTTGAGTAAATTAGCGTCCTTCAATTTCGAAATATTGAAGTTTCAAGCATTTCTTAAATTTACCGTTATATGAGAATCGGCCGTTATATTAGTCCGATTTCAATAATTTTCAACGTTTTGCTTACACGTGGCAAGTACAATAACCATACCGAGTTTGGTACAAATTGGTAGAACGGTTACCGGTATACTTATATGTGATCATAAGTGGGCGGTGCCACTCCCATTTTCCAAAATTTTACCACAAACGTATTTCTTGGTAAAGAATTGTTGCAAGCATCAATTTTGAAAAAATTAGCTTCAATATTTAATGATTTATCGAAGATTTTGTATTTCTCTAAATTACCGTTATATGGGATGTGGGCGTGGTTATTGTCCGATTTTATAAAGTTTCGGCGGTTTTTTATGCTGTACCAAGGCCAACAACTGTGCCAAGTTTGGAAGAAATTGGTGCAGCGGTTACCAAGATATACACATGTAACCATAAGTGGGCGTGGCTACGCCCATTTTCTAAAACTTTATAATATTCTTATTTTTCGTCTAAAAATTATTCTAAATATCAATTTTGAGTGAATTATCTTCAGTAGTTACTAAAATATCGCAGTTTTCGTATTTCTGGAAATTACCGTTATATGGGAAGTGGGCGTGGTTAAAGTCCGATTTCGCCCATTTTCAATACCAACCTACCTTGGATTAAGGGAAACCTACATACCAAATTTCGTTGAGATATCTCAATTTTTGCTCGAGTTATCGTGTACACGGACAGACGGACAGACGGACAGACGGACAGACGGACGGACAGACAGACATGGCTTAATCGATTTCTTTTTTCATCCTGATCATTTATGTATACATTTGTCTATATCTATCTCGATTCGTTTTGGCTGTTACAAACAACCGTTATGTGAACAAAATTAATATACCCTTGTGCACAAGTGCGCTCGGGTATAAAAATTGTACGCGCCCAAGCACCGACAAACGACAAAGGCCAGACGTCCAAATATCTGTCCTAAATATGTATGAGCACACCTACAACCACCGCCGCCGTCATGTCGTAGACGATTTTTGGTCACGGGCGGGGCCCAAAACGTTCCAGTCTACAGCACTAAGTTCCAGCATGAGAAACTCCATCAAGCTACGTGGATATTGGAAATATAATCTTGAGGCTCTAGTCGAGTAAAATAGAGTCGAAATGCGCACCATCCCAAGACTCTGACGGCATACAAATAGCAACTGCCCAGCTGAAAGATAACAAAGCTTTTAGAGCTGGCGACCTGCTTGTGAGACAGACAACGTGCCAATGGCCTTGGGGCCAGGCTTCTTATGATAGCACACAAGGAGCAAGGAGGTGAGCATATGTATTGTGCAAAAAGGCTAAAAGCCACCTCCTATTAAGTATTTTGAGCCTGAATTTCACCCGGTAAATACACTATTGGCAAAGTAAATATACACCATAGCCAAAACTTTGGACCCTAAAATCAATATACAAAAGTTATTGTCGTATTTTCAAATACTACCGCCTGGCTTTGAAATTACCAGGTCCTTGCTAATTAAGGGATAATTAACCCTTATATTCTACATTCAAACTATGATTTTAGAGGTTCAGTCCTGCGATTATTAAGTCCTCGCTGTAAATTTACTGCAAAAGCGCTTTGCTCCACCACTTTGCTGCACCAGTGCATGCAGTAAACTTCATTATAAAGGAAATAAGTGAGACTCACAAAGAACGCTGTCTATTCTCATGGCCAAGTGCAGAGCCAAAAAAGAATAGTGTGTCACTATACTCGTATATGGGGGTACGGCACGAAAGTATTTGCCAAGGGGAAATGGGAAATCTGGTTAAATGGAATTGCAAATGAACAGCATATAAATACATATGTGCAAATATTAATTTGTACACCCCGGTAGAAGTCCCATTCCTCTGAGACGCGTGCAGAAGCGGCGCACGTAGCTGAAATTCTGGGAAATTATTAGTTTTCGTTATTAGTGAATTTCATGCGCCAAGGTGAACACGAAACCTGCAGACAGATAAAAGTAATAAGTTTACACACAAACACCTGCTTGGACACTACCAGATATGTATTAACATACATATGTAGACTTGCAAAGAAGCTTAGTCGGAAGTAGAGTGGCAGCCATTGTTATATGAATAGGCTCGCTGCTGGATTCGGGCGCTGCGGACTGACTGCCTCGCTGTTTCGTTAAGTTTTTGGCCGCGAAATTTTGTGTGCATAAGCATGTATGTGTATATCTGCACTTCCCTGCAGGACATGTATCTAACTATAAGCTAACTTTAAGTTGATTAGGAAGGTGCTATAAGTCACTTATTATCTGTATATTTTCTTTGACGAAAGCTAACTATATTTCTGTGGCGATGGCCGCGAAATAGTCAGTGCATTTGATGTAGTAAAAGATGGTTACCTCTACATTTGATGCAACTAACTTGTAACTAACTACTTTTGGGCATAAAATATCAAAGCAAAAACAAAATATATATATTTTTTATTTTTATTTTTTTTTATCACATTTCATATTTGTTTACACATTCTGCTGTAGGTGGTCCCATATTCGAACTCCGTCAGACATAACTTCGAAATGATGATATGAAATTTTGATCTTCCTTTTATTTGTCCTCAATTCGAAAAAGTATTTTATAGAAATCTCGCAAAAAACTAACTACAATTGGGTTATTTTTTATCAATTGATCATTTTTTCTGCAGGGTTGTTAATGTGTTGCTGCTTCTGTATTATCAAAAAAATCTGGTGGCAACTAACAATGCGGCTATTTTGTTTTTGGTATTTGTTCGTTGCTTGCTTATTTTCGCTTTGCCCGCTGTCTACTGCGGTGGTAAGTGGTGAGCAGCGTGGCATCCAGCGCGCTGTTGTTTGTTCATTGCCGTAGTTGTGCCAAGGAAATTTAAAGACAACAATAAAATGCGGTTTCATTCTGTTGGTCGCAGGTTGAGTGTATTTTTGCTGCTGTTGCGGCCATACCACAGTTCTCAAATAGCCCACACGATAATTCGCGGCTAGCAATGGTAGTACTGTAGCACTGCAGTTGGGCAATAAAAGCAATACTCAAAGGTGTTTATATGTAGAGGTACATACATACAAACATTCATATATATATATATGTATATCGTCTCATTTATGCGCTAACCACGTATCTAAATTTTTTTGGCAAACTGATATTACCACTTATAACAATAGTTTAAGCGTAATACTATTTGAAATTAAAGGAAAACCCTAATGTGGGCGCTCACTAGTTATGATATCCTCGTTGAAGGAAATTAGCATTTTGTTACATGCTGTAGAATGACTCTATTGCGTATATGTATGAGGTTAACGCTGATATGGGACGATATATTTATAGCTATTCATACACCAAAGACTTCATGAGTATGTAAATACTTACATAGAAACATAAGTTCGCATACAAATGAAAGTGTACCCTTTGTTCTAATATAATATTCACAATTATTTTTGGGAAAAATTGATTGCATTATTTATTAATGAAAATATTGATTTTTTAGATTTTTTTGTTTTTTGTGACGGCTTTTTGCACTTTTTCCATATAAGCATGAATGTCTTATGAAATAAAACGCGGGCTACATAATTCGAAAATTTTCTAGAAATTCTGAATATTTAAAAAGTAGCATATTTTGCAAAGATCGCGACTGTTCCATGCACGCATGTAAAGAGTACTGCCAATTGATGCCTTGAGGGCCAAGGAGAACACAAAAATTAACCGAAATGCATATCGAAAAATTTGGCCCAAACAACACTGCGCTGTCCTAGGGCAGGACCATGTACTGCAGCTCTGCATTACATTAGATCAGCATAAAACTAATCCAAGGGATTAATTGGTCCACTACAGAATTACAGAGGAGCACTTTGTAAGTACTCCAATATGGCAAAAATGGATCGCATGTGCCAAAGATTTACGCAAAAAAATTGCGCGTTACACACACTATGAAGAGGAATGCGTGTGCGTAAGAAGGCATAATGTGCATGTTAGTACGTATGTGTTTCGTTTTACACACACACACACACACACAAACACAGGTAACATACATATTTAACTCTGCTTTTTGTGTTTCATTTATTTCTTTACGGACTGGGCCACTTCCTTTTGTTTTCGTTTTCGTTTTCAATGCTTTTTGTTCTTTCCGCTGCCGCAAGTTTTTTTTTTCGAAAGTTGGTAATTGCGAAAATTTCTCGCAAGTGGTGTAATTTTACAAAATGTATGCCTTGTTACCAACATCAACCTTGAATGCAAAAACAAAAAAGAAAGATTTCCACATTAAATTAGGTTACAGTTTTTAGTTTAAAGCCGAATAAAATGTGAGTTAACGCAGTACTTATTTATAACGCGTGGATGTGTGAAGGTTTTGTCTATTTAGTAAGGTCAGAGAGGCGTGTTTGAATACATATTATATCATTCCTTTTCTCGATGACAAGTTTGCCCTTTGAGAATGTACTCTGTGGCTTCCAGGAGTAGACACATCCCTCAACCCGGGGTAATTTCAAGTGTCGTTATTTTTTTTGTTATTACCACTTATTATGCCTGAAAAAATCTCAACTAAACTGGTGAACACGTGTGAACTTGTCAGAAAATATGGACATTGAAAGAGGTTAACTGATACCTTCTCTTGCTCATCCTCGAACTTCTGCAAAGAACAGTTCCTAGTATATGCCATTGTTGGAGTATTGTATGATGATTTCGCAGGTAAAAATTCTTTTTGCAGATTTTTTTAAACTCAGAAATTTATCAGTTCGTTTCTTGTTAAGCCACAGAAATAAACGCCTTACGATTTCACTGTTATCTCGATTGCCGCAGAGGCGGACTTTGACCTGACCCATCTATACCAGTGACGGGAACATATCATTGCCCATGGGGGTTTCGAGTTGTCTAAGTTTTAGATTATTCTTAAAGAGCTTACCAATTTCACATAAATTTATTAGCTAAACATAGCAACTCACCGCTCTATCGCCCAAATTCCGCACTCGACAGTGAAGTAATGCTGCCTGTCCCACTGTCGCCGTTACCTCTCGCCTCGAAGAATTGTCAAAGTACGGCTGAGAGTAGGGTGTTTCCCAGTAGTGAGGCGGCACATCGCCGCAAATTGTTTTCGTTTCTATTAAAAGAAAAAAAAAATAGTTAGTTATAGGTTCTATGATGTCTTGTAAAAAAAAATCATTGGGTTATAAATACTAAATAGCTGTGTATGGGTTAAAAGTATATATTTTCACATTGCCACCTTAGATTACAATTTTAAATGTAGATAATATACGTTTGTACAATCCATGAACTCTTAAAAATTTGCATTAACTGGTTCGATATAAAAACAATTAAGTTTTAGTTCTCATTTCTAATTTATTTTATTTTATTACACCGTGCAGAAGTCAGCTTTGCACACACAAAGGACAAATTATACCAAAACAAGTGGCCAAAATAGTAAAACTGAGTTTTCATTTTTTATCTGTCGTCAGATTTTTGTAAAAGGAATTTAAAATTACAAGGATATGATCGATTTTTTTATATAATAACGATATGGGCATCAAATAAAGGAGAAAATTCTTTAGAATTAAAAAAGATATAATTTTATGGTGTATAATAATGAATAGGTGTTGAAAATATCCCTTCAAAATTGTATCCCTGAATATCTTTGTAAATTTTTGAAAAAATATTTTAGAGATTAATATACACACAACCACATCTTCGAATTTCGTTCTTCTAACTTTTTTAGCTTGAAAAAATAAAATCAATTGAGAGGCCAATTCCAATAGGTATTCGTCCTTGTGAATCAAAAACCTTAAATCTTACAACTTAAATTCTACAAAATTTTCTCCTTCATTTGGTATGCATATTGTCATTCTATGTTTTGTATTTTCTATTTTTAAAATAATTTTTTTAATTAATCATATCTCTCAAATTTCATAGTCATGCTACATTTGGCTCATACTCTGGTGAGCGTATTGACTGTTTCGTGTGCTTTGAGCTTGGAGTAGTAAGGCCCACATTTTTTTCTACAAAATACACCGTGGAATTACTGCTGGCTACAAGGTCGTTACCACTTACCTATTTGGTTGTTAAAGCCTTCAAAGCGCAGTGCAGAATAAAAGGTACCAAAGGTGCCAAAGTCATGTTAGCTAGCTGTTGAGTGTTGGCTTAATTTCAAATTATTTTAAAGATTTTAGTAGTTGTGGATATGGGTTAGTGATGAAAAACCTTCAGTTTTACAACCTTACAGGGACATTTTTTTTAGACGATTCTTTATAGATGTAACCAAAAAAGGAAAAATGGATCTTGGTTCCCCCCAAAGGCAAACCATTTTTTGGAGGTATTTTTTCCATTTATGTTATACTCTCCGCCCACCTTTAGTTCATACACTTTGAAAAATATTTGCTTCAAGATTGTATGAATTGGAAGTGTGAAGTGTTTAAACTAAAGGTGGGCAGGGTAGTATATCATTACCTTAATTAGCAAAGGCCCTAACCAAGTTTTTTTTTTTATTTTAAAAGAGAAGCAAAAACATTATAAAAAGAATACTAAAAACAAGTGACGTGTAACTCCGCTGTAGTTTGTACCAGTTTTTTGTAAAAGGGAGCTTCGAAAGAATTGTTTGTTAGGGCCTTTGTGAATTACGTTAACGATATATATATGTATATGTGTTGAAACCAGTAACGCGGAATTTATTTATTTTTTTGAGATATTCCTTTTCATAGCAGTAATAAACATTCCAGTTGTGAACCAAATCTGACCCATAAATACGGAGTCTTAAAATATCTCGACGCCTTCGAAACCTAGCAGATAAATTCATATATCCTATCCAGTTATCATCGGGTTCTGAGCTAATTGACAATGTTCAACTGTTCAGAAAACTGAACTTCCAAGTAATTATTCGAGTCTCTGCAAAATATTGGCAACCGCAGTTTTCGTTCAACGTTGAATAACCTTAAATATTCGTACAAACACATTGCTCTTTGCATACGCGAATACCCACGTACACACTCTTCTTACTTCGTAATAATTCAATTTAAAAATCGATACCTTTACAACATTTTAATGTCTTGTTTTATATGTACAGCCTGGGCTTCATTCGCGTGAACACAAGTAAATAATCCGAGAGGGATTCTTTAAAATAAATCATATTTCTTTATACCACTTGAAATTGTATGAAAACATTTCTGCTGATGTTCATTTGGGTTGAAAATGGCAGCCTTGCCAAGCCCACGCAGCCAACAGCCAACAGCCAACAGCCGACAGCCGGCAGCCATTATTCCTCCAGACAACGATGTGCCTTTTCAAGGCAGCCGCCACAAATGGCTTTACAATACGGACACATACCGAATATTACGCAACACTAGGCGAACAAAGCTGCGCAACAAAAGCGGCTTATTCGCCCAAGTAAGGGGAGTGCGAAAAATACAAAAACAAAAATACAAAAAAAAAAAACGCAACAAAATCTACACAAAAGCATGCGTGTCCTCCTAAAATACGCAGCCATAGAGGAGAAATAAAATCGAAGTTGAACAAGCATGAAAAACTCAGCGAAAGCAGAAACAAAAAATCTAGCAAGCCGCTTAAATTTTAGCGTTTCATTGGAGCTACATTTTCATGAAATTGCTAGAGCGATAAATTTATGTCGGACCACTGGGTCAAAATGGCAAAGCGTTGGCCGTTGAATGGAGCTTACGAATGATTTTGGCAATCGCGAGACAGCGAAACAACGAAACACAAAAATGTGGGAAAGCTGTGCGAGAGTATTGTTGTTGCTGTAGTTGTTGTTGTGGTCATGGTTTATCAACGCGAGGTTATTAGGTTCGTAGGTAAAACAAGTACATACTTACATACATATACACAAATAAATTTTTGTTGTACAAATTAGTAGAGCAGAGAGTTCATATGGGAAGAGGACATAAATTTGTATGTAAATATAAAATAATATATGTAATATACTATAATATAAATAGAATAAAATTTCTATACTAGATCTTTATCCCCACCAGCTGAAAATCAGCGAAATGTAGTACTTTTAATAACAATTTTCTTTCACTTTTTTTGTTAGAAATCTATATCTAAGGCGACGAATTTAGAACTGGTTTGGAACTATCGAAAAAGGAATGCAGCGGAAGGCTTGTTTACTTCACATAGATATGTGTGTGGCGGCTTTTTCATTCAGAAGCGCTTTCATTATGCACTTCTCAGATGCTTTTTCAGAGCTTGGTAATACAAAACAAAAATTTGTGTTAATAAACATCTGGGGACCTAACCAAGCTCAGCTAGCGCCAAAGGCACGTAAACGCAATTTTATTTCAAATTGAAAACAATTTAAAATCTCACACACGGAAGAACCGAAAAGATTGAAAACTCGTGACACTTTTTCTTTCGTCTGTCGATTTTAGAACTGGTTCGGAACTAGAGAATTTGGGACTATTCCGGAGCTATTGAAAAAGGGATGCAGCAGGAGGCAATTGACACTTCCCAGGACATCGCTAAAAGAGATTTATGCGAACCACTACTGGGTCTAAATGTTCGAGAAGCGCACCAGTTAAGAACTAGAGATTTTCGCCACAGGGTTTATTTTGTACCCGCGTATGTAGTAGTTGTAAATTGGTATAATTGCGAGTGTTTTTCGTTGCCTGGCATCCGCAGAGACTTAAGCTTGAAATCTATGTTGTCAGACTATTTTATTGCCACTGGCTTAATTTGCTCATTTCCTGATTAAAATCGGACCAGCTGTAAGGTGCCTCTGTTCTGCGCGTTGTAATCTAATGGCAAGAGAAATAAAAATAATAGATATTAGCGCAGAAAAATTACTTTACCACTATTTATATAAATTCACGTGTACTTTGATGGAGATAAATGCAATTTGAATATTTTATTATTTACCTTGCCTTTTGCGACAATAAATAGATAATAATAATAATAGATTGGCGCTTACACATATGTTAGTGTTTGGCCGAGCTTCTCCTCCGACTTGTGGCGTGCGCCTTGATGTTGTCACACAAATCGGAGGGACCTACAGTTTTACGCCGACTCCGAACGGCGATTGTATTTTTATGAGAAGCTGTTTTTCATGGCAGAAACACACTCGGAGGTTTGCCATTGCCTGCCGAGGGACGACCGCTGTTAAGAAAAAACCTTTTTCTATATTTTTTGGGATGTACAATAAATAGATAATTTACTTAATTTACTGAAAGCTTAGATACTTAAATATTGTCAAAATATTATTTTGAAGGTTTGGTTGGAATCAAATTGACACCGATTTGACCAGAGAATTCTTACTAGTGATGGGTAAATTTCATATACGAAGCTTCGATAATCGAATTTCGTCAATATTTAAAAAAAAAAGTTTTTTTCTTTATGACTAAAAAAACACATCGACGTTTTTTTTTGATCTGCTCCGATGCCTATCGATGTATCATATATATAAAAATCGATATTTTCGATGCATCAAATGAATTAAGACTTTACCAGAAAATGGAAAAATCGGAGCTTCGATAAATGTTTAATAACTAAGTCATAGTGAAATGTATTTATTGATTTAAATAGTAACACATTCCAGTTATACACATTAATTTATACAAAATAAATATGATTTCAGATGATTTGTAATCTAAAAACTGTATCTAATACTTGGTTTTCCTGAGGGGTATTCTCTGAGTTTGCAAGGCTGAGCTATGCGAATAGCAGTTTTTTCCGTGCAATCTGTGCACCGTGCAACGGCTTTGTAAGACTCGGAGAATGACATCTAATGATGGGCGAAGTAGCGATTTTTCAGCACCAGTGAAAAGAGTGATTGCGATTTTTAAATTACAGTAATTTTTGTAGGGCTATTGCGACCGCTAGTTCATTTTAATAACATAGAAATGTGTAATAGTTCTAATAAATGATTAAAACTCAGTGTTGGTACATGTTGGCCCCGTAGGGATCCAGTAGAAAAAGTTAGTGCAAAGAAAATGGGGAAAAGTTTCATTCGCTCCGAAAGTTGCTATATCTTTACTCGTTGATAAATTTTGAAATAAAAACTTAAACGCAAATAACGCGATCAAGCAAAACAGGAAATGTTCATTTAAAACAACCGTGAAACGGTAATAAAAAACGCAATATAGTTAGGTACATACGAGCACA